ACAAAGTCAACTCCAGGAATCGAGCAATTGAGCCTTTGCAATTTTAATTCTTCTGGGTCCAGAAAATCTGGTAATGTGTCACATTGCTGTAGCGAAACTTGACCTGTCCCCAGTCTGACATTGCTGTATAAGAAAGCACATTATATGATGGTAAGACAGGCTGGTCGCTCAGCATTCTGCCAGCCTCAAAACACAGCCTTACTCTTCTCTATTCTTAGTCACCTTTGTAGGATGGCTCAGAAAGTAATCGGCATCTGGAGTTTGTAAATTGAAAAATAACACTAAAAAAATCCAACAGTAAATGCTTATGATGGAAATGAAGAGAAATTTAAAAAGCCTAAGAAAGTGTTGATTCTTAACCTGGCTGCATGTTATAGAAGAAATTATGAACTGTAATGCAATGTTTACCACATGGTGATCCGTGAAAGGAGAAAAAGGAGAAGAGGGGAGGGATGATTACATTTCAAGTAAATTTGAGAGGCACAATTTTAAATAAAGTGTATTTAATGCAGGACTCCTTGCATTACATCCATAATGGCATCACAAATTTAACATGTTCAAAGTAGGCATTTTGATTTCAGGGCTATATACCCCCGACCTGTCTGAACCCTAGTCTTACCCGGTTTAATAAAAGGCTCCACCATATACCTGTTTCAGTAAGCCAAATACTTAAAAGTCAACCTTGATTCTCTATTTTTCCTATCCTACCACTAACTTATCAGCTCTACATCCAGAAAATATCACAAATTCATCCACTTCTTTTTATCTCCACTGATGCCACCATAATCCAAGCCACTATCCCCTCTGTCTGGGCTGCAGAGAAGTCCCCTAACGTCTCCCCAAACCCATTCTTGCCCCCGTACAATCCATTCTACACACAACTTCGAAATTAAGTGTTAAAAGGTAAATTATATCACATCACTTCCTTACTTAACAGTCCTCTCATGGCTTCTCTTCTTACTTGGTCACAGGGCCTATGGGGCCCTACAGGATCTGGCCTCTGCACACCATCTGAACCCATCTCCTACCACTTCCCCACAGCCCAGCCTTTTCTCTGTCCTCGAATACACAAAACTTTCTTGATCTCAAGACTTCTGACTTGGGTAGAGCTTTCCACAGATCTCCCCGTTTCTGGCTCCTTCAATGACTCAGGACTCAGCTCTAATGTGGTCTCTTCTGAGAGGTGTGGCTGAGCACCCCCGTCACACTGCTCTCTTTGAGCACATTGTCTTCATAACACTTGTAGCTGAAACTCTCTTCTTTATTCATCTGTCTCCACCACAGCCCCTTAAGCTATACTTTCCACGAGAGCAGAGCTTGGTCCGTCTTTGTCACCACAGTTTTCCCAGAGTCCAGTAGAACGAGACTAGTCACAGGGTAGATTCTCGTAAATCTTTATGTATGAGTGCATTATGAGACTCCAAGAGGAGTTTCGAAGTGTTTACATACTCCCAAATTATTGAGGAACACTTTTCTGACAGAATGACAAGATGTTAATCAGTTTTCAATAGAAGCACAGTTTTAGAAAGAAAGCTTTGAGATGTTTTCAAATCCGGGGGTTTGCAGTGACTCTAGGGGGTATCTGCTACAATGACAGCTGTACGCAGCGGTGGACAAGGGTGGAGAGAGGTGAGGATTGTCTCTGTTGCCTCAATACTCAACCAAAGTTGAGTTGAGCTGCAAAAAGCAAACCTGAACGCAGGGCTGAAGGAAGAGCTTCATCACCACTTTGGATTCCCAGTCAGGCATCCGATGAAAAGAGCAAAGCCGTCCCTCCACTTCTTGTGGTACCTAGATGACCAGTTATAAGGAAGAAATGTATGATAGATCATATAATAAATAGTTTTTGTTTTTAAATATCTCAACATTTATCCCTGAAATATAATGCATATATCCTACTTAGAAATGCTTAAATGTCCGAAACAGGACTCCTAATTTCCACCTCTCAAAAACCTCCCAGTCCTCTGTTTTTCCTATTCAGGAAAAAGACAACACCATTTCCTGAAAGGTCTCGGGGCTGAGGTACCTGAGAAGAACACAATTAATGATTTCTTTTTCAATTCCAGGATATCAAACTGAAAAAAAACCTAAAACAAAAACAATCTACCACATTTGGCACTAAAAGAAATTCTTTCATGTAAGCGTAATGTCTGTTATCTAATCTTTTCAATTAAATTCACATATCCCTCTCTTTCTAACTTCTCAATTTTCTGTTTTCCCAGTAACTCTGACGTAACACATGAAAGGAATATTGGGTTTTTCTTCTTTTCTTTTTAACATCCAATCACTTACTTTGTCAAGTCAATTCTTTCTTAATGGTTGAGCTAATGTTCAATAAAAGGAACTTCTAGTTCACAGTGTAAAACAAAACATCAAAAACGTCTATTTGATACATCTTCAATTTCCTTGTTATTTCTTTTCTCTAACTGGCTTTATAAACAAAACAGTTCCTATCTGAAATACATGTTTTGTTGATGTTAATGGAAGTGTTGAACCTCAATGGTCCCTTAAATGTCTAATATTAACTCATTCTTGAACTTCAGCCGAAACATAAAATGTGTACATTGGCAGAAAGAATGGAACAACTAATATTAAGAATGTATGAATTTAAAATGTTTAACATTTTTTTTTTACTAATGGTGACGCAAAGTCTTCTCTCAGGAAAAGCCTAAAGAGCAAAACACTTCACAAATCTCATTCTTCCTAATCGCTTTTCGGCAAGGTCTTCTCTCATTCCTCATGGATAATACAGCCCCCACCAAACTCCTCTCTCTGATTTCCACATTTGACTTGCTCATTCCTGACTCCACATCTTCTTAGCTGGAAAGACTTATCCTCTCTCCTTGGCTAGTGAGTGTGTAACTATCACATTCTAAAAAAAAAAATACTAAAAATTTACCTCAAACCACAATTCTTAAGGACATCACATATTCCTTTGTTCTAGTCATTCAGCCCTGAATTAAGTCGGCAGCACCTAATTCATCTTTGTTTATGTGTTGCTTTCTGAATGTTCTCAATAATTTGAATACCCAAATATTCTTTTGTCAAATAGATGGTAAGGTGCAGGCATGAATCTTATTCTTTTAAACCTTTCTCAGAAGGCTTAGGATACTGAGAGTTCATAACTCAAGCTCAATAAGTGTTATCTTTGAAAAGCAAAATTCTGAAATGAAAAATGCGCTCAGCTTTAAAGCCAAAATAGAGAGGAAATGGATCATTTATAATGTCCTATTGATTCACTAGACTTTTCTTTTTTGTCTGGCAAATGGACTACATAGCCAATAAGATTGTATCAGGTACTTTTAATAAAGTGAGATGCTAAAATTACATGAATAGGATGATTAAATTGGCATTTTGTGATTTTTAATCTCACAAAGGGTTTATTAAGTACAGCTAGATACCTATTAAACAACCTTCTTTTTAATAGCTACCTGCAAGGTCTGAAATTAGGTTGAAAGTACTCACTCATATTCTGCCAAGTTCCTCCTTTGTTTGGAGGGGTTTTCACAGAAACATTAGCTAATGTGGGAACTTTGGATTTCTGGTGAATTTTCTTTCACTGTAATGAAATTGACTAGGAACCAGGGAATGATATCGGAACAAGGAGACAGGCATATCCTAATGCGTTTATAACGCTCACATGCTAGTTCATGCATTTTAAATTAGATAACTATTTCTGTGCATTCTGTGGCCTGTAGGATTATGCCTTTGTGACGGCTGCCTCCTTGGTCTGCATTACCTACATTTCATCCGACTAGTCTAACAGAATTACCCCCAAGTAGACGAGACGAGATCTGAAAGCCTTCATGTGCTATGCCAAGGTTTTACCGCTTTTAACCTTTTATTTACTTATTTGCGTGCATAATGTAATTCTTCTACTAAGTTATAAGTTTTTGGTGTTGGGATTCATATTCTTTTATTTCTCTATCTCTCATAACATGTGTATCATAATGTCTGATAACTAATAGATTCTCAGAAATCATTTGAATGAATGAATAAATAAATGAATCTCAATTTGAGTCTCCCAGAGTTCAACAGTCTACATTAAATCCCAGTCCCCAGACACCTGGGAGTCATCTTGATCCTCTCTGGACTTCCTTCAGGAGATCCTCTCACCCATCCCTCCCTAGGCGCTCTCTAATCTTTCCAGGAAACTCCATCAGTACTGCCTCACCATCCTAGCTCAGACCCTCCCACACTCTTCCATAATTCTTTCTCTACCCTGCACTAGATCTGATCTTAGAAGCCCATTTAAATCTTTCAATGGCTTCTTAATGACCTGAGAATAATAGCCAAAATCCTTAACAGAGTTGACAAAAAGCCTGCAAAATCTGACCTCTGTCTTTTTACCAACCTCCTCCGGTACAGCTCTTTCCTGGCTCTCTGGATTCCCTTCACAATGGCCTCCATTCAGTTCCTGGAAGTGCCCATGTTTCTTCTGCCAAGGACCTCTGTGTACTTCATGGACCATACCCTTACCCAAGGATTTCCTCATTATCCCTCCAGGCTTGCCTGAAACCTCACTTTGTCAAGGAAGACTCCCCAGGCCCTGCGACTCTTATCTCATAATGTCTTGAAATGACCCTTGGCAGCAACGCTGTATAGTTAATTTATTTAGCATGTAATTAAGTGTTTAACTCATTCTAGAGGTTCCTTCTCTAAATAGGAGCTCTGTGAGTTACTGGTCAATATTTATTTTGTCCACTGCTCCCTGCACCCCTCTCCTAGCCCTAGGTCTTGCTTTTTTGAGTGATCAATAAATATTTTTGAAGAAATTAATGAATCAAAAGAGAAACTGGAGACATAAAAGGAAATAGAAGTGAGAAAATAAGGTAATGGTAGTTTGGGCATAATAATAAAATCTAATGCCAATGTGACCCCCATGGCGTTCATTCAGAGCCCCTTAGTTGGGACTCATCCTCAAGGTTAGTATTACCTTGCACTTTCTGTACAGCCTTGTCCCCTGAAAGATCTCCTTACACGTCTCTCTCTGTTGGCAGTCGATGGGCAGTGGCAGGAGTGGAGTTCCTGGAGCCAGTGCTCAGTGACCTGCTCGAATGGGACCCAGCAGAGAAGCCGGCAGTGCACGGCGGCAGCGCACGGGGGCTCCGAGTGCAGGGGGCCGTGGGCGGAGAGCAGAGAGTGCTCCAACCCGGAGTGCACAGGTGAGTGTACAGTACAGGTGAGGCCTGATGCCCACACTGAAAGGGTGCTGCCCTTTATAAAATGTGACACAACTATGCCAGATGGTCGTGGATGAATCAGATAATTATATGTTTCTAACAAAGAAAGCCAACGTACCAGCATCCTTTCTACTGTATGTCACATTAACAAAGCAGCAAAATTCAGGAGACTCTTAGGTTAAATACCCATTACATTGATGAACTTTAGCCTTGAACTTGTACTTTTTACATGTAAGGTTCAATGTCCATCTGAAGATTCTGACAAACTTATATAAACTTCTGTTAATCACAATGCCGTATACTTGACCAGCAAGTCAAATGTTTGAATAAGGTTTATTCGTGATGGTAGATTGATAAAAATTGAACAGACAGTAACGGTCCTCAGATTCTAAAATCCCTAACGCAGTGTGCAGTAGACCGCTGCTATTGACCATGACACTTTTCTTTCAGCCAATGGTCAGTGGAATCCGTGGGCTCATTGGAGTGGCTGTTCCAAGTCCTGCGACGGCGGCTGGGAGAGGCGCATGAGGACGTGTCAGGGAGCGGCGGTGACCGGCCAGCAGTGTGACGGCTCAGGCGAGGAAGTGAGAAAGTGCAGTGAGCAGCGCTGTCCTGGTGAGAATGACCTGAGATGAGCCTGACAGAAAAAATGTATTCCCCCAAAAATGAGGATCCAAATTATTGTCGTTGGTGAAGTGCGGTGCTTCCTCAATTGAAAGGAAAGTGGCAGTTTGTTTCTATAGTGCAGAGGGCTGCCTCATTTGTGTGTCAGACTATTTCTTCTGTAGGTTTTTAAATTATTTGTTGCAAAATGACATTGAAAAAAGTGATAACACAAAGGTAGCCATACTGAACACTAACAAGGCTCCATATAGTTTAAATTAGAGAGGGACACTATTTTTTTCACTATTTACATGAAATATTTGTTTACTAAGAACCCAAAGCAAGTTGCCTTAGATTATTTTAGTAGAAATACAAAGGCATAAGTGTTAGATGGCTAAGTGAGAAAATAAAGAGGGGATGTGGAAATTCAGACACTTGTAAATTCTGCTGTTAATCCACCTTGAGGCAGGACCTCACACAACCCCGTCCACTTGTCTTTGCCCCATTTCCACTGTCAAGGAAATTCCTGATGAGGAACACATTTTAAAATGAAAGCATAAGGTCTTAATTAGTAGTGAAAGAATGGAAGTGTTGCTGCCTTAAGGGATTTTACATACGAGCATAAAAAAAATGAAAGGTTGGAAATTGTCCAGATTACTGATCTTATATTTTAAAAGATCATTTAGAAGAAAGACTCCTTCCTAATGGTATGTACATTCCACAAAATATTACTGACATACCGAGGACTCAATAAATAAGTGAAAATTAGGATTTCAGAATGATATCATAGGCAAAATTGTTATAAACGTGCTAGAAAAGGTGATCGGGTGGAATTTCAAAATTCCACAGCTGGGTGTAGAGGGAAGTGCTGGACTTGGAGAATTTGCGGACCCAGTCAGCGTCCTGTCGCTGCTGGCAACTCCTCGTGGGCAAGCTCGCCCGTCCCTCTGGCGTCTGGCTCCAGCGCGTCTGGGGATGCAGCCTTTTGAGGTTCCTTTTTGGTTCAGAAAACTATGGATTTCTGTCTCTATCCAACATGACTACTTCAATTTAGAAAAAGCACGGCATTCTAAGAGATAGCAGGGGTCAAAACTTGGTATTTCTCCTTAGTTAGAATTCCGAAGGCTTCACAGTTCAGCACTAAGAATACCAACAGAAACTGGACTCGCAGAGTAACAGTATGTCAGCAGGTTTTTTTCAGAGCTTAAAAAAGGTCTAAAATTAGTTTTGTTAATTCTTAAGGCCATATGAATTCAGAATGATAAGAGGGAACCAGCATGCTGGATTTTGTTGAGAAGGATGCCTATACAGATTGGCACTAAGAGATTCCTCCAGTGCTGCATAAGAGTTAAGACGCATTAAACAAAAACACTTATTTTACCCAGGGAGAAGTTTCGTTAGAACAGTGGGCATGATTAAATAAGACCCTTTTAATGTTTGAAGTTATCTAAACCAGTGTGAGCATACCAAGATTCTTACCTGGTCTTTTAGAACTGTCTTTCATTTGCGTCTGTAGAGGTAAGATGGTGCCGCTGCAATCAGATTTACAAAGATTGCCACCTGCTGTTTGGAAAACATTTTACATATCTGTTTACAAGGAAGATATTATACCTTACTTGCTGGGTTGTTTGCCGGCTTTCATGATTTAACGCAGGTTGAAAATTATCACATAAATCTCTAACAACTTTTTATATTATACTATATATATTTTTAGCATTAACCTTAACATTTTCATTTTACTCTTTTCAATAATATAATTTGAAAAGAACCACAAATCACTTCCAAGTATATAAATAACAGTTTCAAATTAAAATGAATTTTTGAATCAGCTAATTTGCAAATTTGCGCTTATGCAGATGTAAAATAATAAATATATGTACCAAGCTTTTGAATACATCTTAATCTGGTACCTTTATATAAATTGCACTATCCATCAAAAATTGTATATGACTATTGATTTCAAATATGCCTTTGATACTCTAGAGTATCAAAATAAAGGAGGATTGCTTTCATATTCATCCTTTAATTTTTCAAAATGTGCAGTCGTATCAACCCCAAATTATTTTATCAAGAGAGCAGGATTTATAACTCGCTCAGTTTTCCATAGAGCACCTACCTGGCTTATATATTGGCCTTCCCACTCTGCTCAGTTGCCTCTCTGTGGTCAGTATATGCTTCTGTGATCAGGAGCACAGCGTTCCTGATTTCAGCCATTGTATTGCTCCAAATTTACTCATTGACAATATAAATTGAGAAAACTTTCAAATTATCTTAATAGTTACTAAGGCATTTTTCCTCTTTTTGTCAATTAGAAAGCCTCAACAAATGTTTCTTTTAAAACAATATGCTTATTTCTAGTATTATTTTTAGTACTGTTCATTCTTGATTTTTCTTCAGATTGCTGGGAACAACTAGTATTTATTTTTATGCTTCGCTTAACTTGGATGCAAAACAAATTAATCAAGGTTGCCAAGAAAACCTCTGTTGTCAGGAAGGAGAAATATAATATTCGCACATCTTTGTCTGGATAACTAATGAAAATAATGATTAATCATCTGGATTTAATCAAAAGCTGTGATGATGTCTACTAAAAACGGAAAATAAAAGAAAATATATTTTCCCATCAAGATTAGGACATTTCTTTACTGGTAAATAGGTAAAATAAAAGTATTAAAAAGAATATCGTTAACCAAAAATAAGATATTGCTCCTGTCTTCATAAGAAAAGAGATTTAGAGGGATGAAAAAATTATACTTAAAAAAAAAAAGTACTGCTAGTTGAAGTATAGAGTAGCTACAAGAGAGACAATTAAATGGCCCAATTTTTAAGTTGATCAAACTCACCAAATAAGGATCTATTGATCTCAGTATCATTGCACACCCCCGGGCTTTGAGGGTTAAAATAGGAGAAAGGCAATAGCTCCTCTAATTTTGTTATGTTGCTACATGTGAAAACATTCTATTTTTAGTTTCTTCTGTTTGTTTCGCAATATTTCCCTGCTTAATGGCATTCAGAAAGCAGATGGTACTGGTGGACTGGTCTGTTACCTTGCAGGCTTCCTGGGGACCTCCTTGCTCTGTTCCCCAGGAGGGGCTTGCTGTTCCTACAGCTCCAGTTCTGGGATCCGTTACTCTTTAGTCAGTAGCTGCTAAGTTGGAACCTACCATTCACAGGTAGATGCTAAACTTAATTTGTACATAAAATGTCCTTCTTGGAGCCAATTGCTTTATCTGCAAAAGGTGAGTGAAGCCTGGGGGTTGAACATGCTGAGAAAACCCTAAGCGAGAGAGCCATACCATTAATGTACAAGCAAGAGCAACGTAGAACGGAGGTGCAGCCTTGATTGTGACGCTTCACTCCAAATTTTCAAACCGAAGGAGGCCAGCAGTAACGTTGGTCACCCCAAACTTGTCTCCAACGGTGGAACGTTGCATTCGTATTAGAATTTGGTGCCCTGTGATATGGTGACCATAGGCCTCTCCCCCTTAGGAGAATGCCGTTCTGGGCCTGGCTGTTCCTTAGCTCCGTAAGGTTGCTCTCCAACAGGATTACGTCTTCTCAGGAGACCCAGAGAGACTTTCACTTGGTTTCAGAGTAATTTTCTTTTAACTTGGCTTTAGTAGGAACAAAGAATCACAAAGCTTGCTTACTTTGCACTCTTATCTTCTTTGAGTGCCTCTCCCCATTTCCAGAGCTGTGCTTCTCAAACTTTAGCAGACATAAGAATCACCCAGGGCCCTCGTTAAAACACCGACTCCTGAGCCCAATCCCTGGAGATTCTGACTCACTGGGTCCCGTGTGGGCCAGCTCCCGAGTGGTGTCGATGATGCTGCACGCTACCCTTTCGTGATCTGGTCTGCAGGTGACCCTTTAGGGTGCACTGGCCTACAGTAAAAATAAATGAATAAATAAAAACAAGATGATAAAATTAACAGAGAAGTGGGAAACAGTCCTCTACCTCAGCTCCACTGGTGAAAGTTAAGATATCTCCTGAACAAGACTGCAAAATTTTATTTTATTTATACTTCATAAATAATGAGGGATTGTTTCTGAAATCAGTTAATAATGAAAACACAGACAATCCATTTCAAGTCTCCCTAGCCAACTCATGTTTCAATCAAAATAAGATCTCTTTACAGCAGTTATTTGAAGAAAATAGGGCTGTTAACTAGTTGTTTTGGACATAGAAGGATGGGTTAGTCATCATCTAACTCTCCAATCCCCGTTATTCCTGTTCCATGGAGAGCAGGAGAAACAACCTAGGTATCACTTGAGCACGTGTGATGTACAGCCGTGCACGGCCAGGACACGCATCTGTAGTCCCGCACCCCCTCGACTCTCTCTCTCCCTGAGCAGGAGTACATTTTCACTGCCTCTTGTCCTCCAGGGCTATTAGCTGCTAAATATGTACACACAGGCATGTATGGGGGGGGTGGTCAGGGAGGAGGATGAGGTCTTAGCTCACGTTAACTTAGTTTCTCCTCAGTTCCCGGTTGGAGGAGTGGTGAATTAATGACTGTCAATACAAACATTTTGTCTTTGTTAGAGACAAGTTTAACAAGTTAATGTCATGTTTCTAAACTGTGTGGACCACTACATTTTAAGGCCAATCATAACCATTATTAGAAACCCAAATATATGAGTGTAAAATATACATTTCTTTTCTAAAGAGAACAAAAAAGCATACTTCTCTGTAGTGAAATATTCACATACAAGTTGGCACCTGTTTCACCTTTTTCATTCCAAACCACAAGGTTAATCACTCATAATACTTTTAAAAGCTCCTATTCTGTTAGAATTTCTATTATTTTCCGCTATCAGATGTTATGTGTATACCCTATAAGGAATTATATGATTACCTGTTCAGTTTCAGAAGATTATGGTAAGTGCGTTCACTGAATATTTTTGGACACAGCAAATAGTGTCACACCCACGTGTCACACCGGTTGTTCACCTAAAACCACTGAGTTCAGTGTTGACAGTAGGTGGCACTAGGCATTGACTTCTTTCAT